TGAATTTTTAAAATGTAAAAGAAAATACATGGTTTGGTGTAATTTCCTCAAACTAAAACCAGGGTTCAGTGTAATTTCTTCAAAAGGAAATCCAGCTCAATCCAAGCCCTCAAGGTGAGATGGATAGTCCAGCCCACTTAAAAAAGCAGCCTAGCCCAATCCAAGCCCTTGAGATGCCGCGGACAGTCAAGCACAAGCTTATACTCTTAACTCACAAGCAAAGCTCTAAAAAATATACAAGGCCTCTTCAGCTTTACGAGTCCAAGCATAAAACAATGCTTGCTTATTTCATCTATTCTAATATTATTAATGGGTTATTCAATTAGTTTATTAAACTTTATGACCCCATTTGGTAGAGATTAAAATAAATTTTTTAGTAAATTTTAATAAAAGTTAATGAAATATGTTGTTGAATAATTGTAGATTCTATAAAATGTGTGGTTAAAATTAATTGTTGATTTGACTTTAAATTTTAATTGAATTTTAATCTAAACCAAACAGGAGCTAAAACACAACTCAAAGTAGTCTTATTGAAAAATGCTTTTTGTGTACATCATTATTTACATAATATTTTATAAATTAATAAGGTGTCAAAGATAGTGGGAGATTTTTTTTTTTTTTTTTGACGAGATTTTAATCCAATTAAAATCTCGACACATCATCTACTGATAAACAAATATGTAAATTATGGTGTAAATATAGCATAACCTATCTTCATTTACCCGTTTAGACTACATTTTTCATATCTTTTAGAACATTGCCAAGTCCTAGTCTTGGTTTGTCCCAGTTTGACAACCATTAAAACAAAACTTTTTTTTCTCAAACTCATTTTCAACCACATGTTTTCACAATAAAACATTCAGTACCTAAACTCGAAACCTTTTTCTACTTTTTAACTACCATTCTCCAAAAAAATCACTATTCAGAAATTCATTTTCCCATTTTAATAGTGGTCAAACAAAGGCTATAGAATAACCTCATAACTTATAATATGCAAATTATAATATGTAACTTAACATAATGGGGCAAGGAATATATACAAGCTGTGAAGCCACTTCCATAGATGCACTTGGCAATGGTGACAATGCTTTTCTTCTACCCCCATGAAAGGAATCCAACTCTCCAGAGCAAAAGTGAAGCAAAAGCGAAGCAAAAGCATAGGTAAAAACATCTTTCAAGACAAAAATTCCCTTTTCTTCCAGTTAATATAGCTAAATCTTCTCATATAAAACAACCATTATCTGTCCATCCACTTTATTCCGATTCCCATGCAGAGGGTGATCTACGTTTATATAAGACGTTTCAGGTTTCTCCTTTTGGAAAACCCATCTCATTTCAGACTCCACATCTGCACAAAATGGCAAAAAATATCGGCTTCCTCGTGTGCCTCTTGATCATGATTATGGACATTATAGCAGGAATTCTTGGTATTCAAGCAGAAATTGCTCAGAACAAGGTATTTTTCATTCAAGAAAAGCTTGCAGAAACATCTGATTTGGTCTTTTATTTCGTAATAATAGTATTCATTTACAGGTTAACCATCTGAGGGCTTGGATTTTTGAATGTAGAGACCCTAGCTACCAAGCTTTCAAGCTCGGTATAGCCGCAGTGGTACTTTTACTAATGGCACACGTTATTGCCAATTTGCTTGGAGGGTGCATTTTCATTAGATCCAAAGAAGAACTGGATCAAGCTTCTCCTAACAAGCAACTCGCAGCCGCATCCCTCATCTTGTCATGGTACTTTATTCTGAATTATGTCGAAGCATTATGATTATTCTCTTATAAAACAATTTCTTATCGTTCGGACATCCATTGATATAACTTAAGGTAATGGACCAGGATTATGTTGGGTGTTGCATTTACAATGCTGATTTCTGGAACATTGTCAAACTCGAAATCAAGAAAAGATTGCGGAATAGCACATCATCGGCTACTGTCTATAGGAGGAATTTTGTGTTTTATTCATGGACTCTTTTTGGTTGCCTATTATGTTTCTGCTACTGCCTTCATTCGAGAAGAAAAGAAACTGAGTCAACACGGGATCCAAGAAAACAAACCAAATGAACATGGAGTCGAGGCATGATTTTCCCGCTACAAGATGATCTGGAATTTTATTTCTTGTTCTCTTGTTTTCTGAATTTCATTGAGTTTTAATTTCTCGTGCTTCTTGGTCACCAATGTGTTTTTCTCCTCCCTCAGAAGTCTTTCCAAATGAATTTCTTACACTTGGAAAGTTGGAATTATGATGATAATTTTGAGAGGCACATTTAACCTTAAATTTTCTAATTCTGAAGAATTTAATATAAAGATCTCATTCCTTTATTGTTGCAACTCCTCAGACGGTCACTGAAGACGAAGTGAGGTTTCATAAATTATAAATACGTGCTATATTAACCAATTCAAAGCACTGCAAACATCAATCAGAAAACGAAAGTGAACTTTCCGACCTTTCCATATAAAGGAAAGTAGTGGGTGGAAAAACAGGGGAAAACATGGCACGACCAACATATTCAACCAAGAACATAGAAATACGAAGGATAGTCAATAAGCAATCAACACGACATAGAAACACATAAATAATTCTAGCAGCTTATGCAGTACCCTAGACACGACAAAAACAGATGAACAATTATATACGCCAATAGTCCTTAAAAAAGAAAGAAAATAAAAAGAGGAGGGGTGTGCTTATTTCATTGAACTCCAAGCATAATAGAACATCAAAATATTTGTTCATGAAATCATTAAATAGACAAATAACTCATTACTCTGACTTCCCCCATTTCAACTGGCAATATGTATATATATTCCTAACACAATCATGATAATAGCCGAGAGATGGAAACTTCTTGACAGTTAGATGAAACCAGAAGTACATTAAGCACCTGTTCACCAAAGCTTTTTGAGATTATAAGCCGGTGGGTCCAATATGTGATTAAAAAGTGGATAAAAGTTGTGGGTCTAATGAAATGAGTGATTAAAAATGAAACTCGACCAGCTTAATATCTGTAAAAAGCTTTACCAAACAAGAGCTAAGAAGTTAATAGTAGAAAACACAGCTTTAGCGCACCATTTGCATCATGAGACCCTTCCTGAATATACTTACATTTAACATACTCAAATAAAGATTAAATTATAGCTTCAATTGTTGGCACTAGAGGAGGCCTTTCAAAAATTGTCTTCCACTTTCCCATTGTATTTACTAGTCTCAGGAGACGTATAGCTCGATCTTAGCAATTAACAATGAATCTCTAAAAAAGTCATGTAGTGAACAACAAAAAGATTTGGGTCGGGCAAAGAAAAACACAAATTATGTAAGTATACCAGGAATAGTTCAAAAATTGCATTATAACCTCTAGTCGATGACCATAGATATCAAAAAAGTTCAACAAGAACCAACTGAGACTCCATTTGATGATCAAGAATGCAGAAAATACCAGATAAATAGGAATATCAAAATATAACGAGAAATATAAAGCATAAATAGGCTATTGATAAAGATCAATATCAAAGAAGTTGATAATACAGAGCAAGCTGCAGAATTCACCACATTAGAAGATTTACTATAAACTAGAAAGATAAGCTAGGAATTTATAATTAACTACACTTGAAGCAGAAACAGGGATCAGGCAAGTTGTCCAGCCAGCAAACAATTAAAAAGAACTTACCCCCTGCACCTGTCAACAACCTCAGTGATCTGTCGCCCTCATAACATTCAAAACCAGCTTGGTCTGAGCTCGCATCACGTCGTACTTCTTCTCCTCAAGCTCAATCTCCTCCACTCGCAGCTTCCTCCACTCTTTATGCCCCTCAATTTTATTTTCACCTTCAAAAAATTTTGCCCCGGCCATCAAAATCCACTCCCTCATGCTCATACCATTATTACTCCCTGCACTGAAACTCCTGACCGTCATCTCCACATCAGCATTCGCAACATCCAAACTCTTCACTTCGTGGGTATTGCTATTTTCAACCTTATTAAACCCCTTATCAGGAATCTCCCTCGTAGTAGTCCCATTCGCTTTAGGAATCCCCACTGCTTTCTCTACCACACTTCCATTGTCGTTCTGACTGCCCCATATCTTTTTTGACAAATCGTAACCTTTTTGCTCGTGGGCTTTTAAGGTCCTCTCTTTGCCCTCCTTCTCTTTACTCTTATTGTTCTCGTACTTCTTTTTCAGCCTCCTAATTTTATCTTGCAACTGAGTCCTAGTCGCATCCACATGTAGGTTCTTCCTAATAAAATCATGAAAATCATTCAAATCAGCAACTGGGTCAGATTTTTTTTCCAACGCATAATCAATCATGCCTTTGAGAACCACAATTTCATCATCCTCGCTCCACAGCCTCTGGAACAATTGTTTCTTCGAATCATCGTTACTAGTACTCGGCGTTTTACCCGAAGTCTCAGCCGAAAGTTTCTTCTTTGACCTCTTGTTGTCCTTAGCCTCGGCCTCTTTCTCCTCCTCTGCAGGACGTTTAGCGCCAGCAGACTTCACCGGAGTGCTGGGCTTCGAAACGTAAGGCTTGGATCTAGGCTTCCTAGCAGCAGCGCTAATAGTTGGCTTTTGTGGCTCGTCCATTGGCTTCGAGATCAGGGGCTTCAAATTCGAGTTGACTGGATCGGTGTCAGACTCTGGTTCGGATCCGGATTCTTCGTCTTCCTCCTCGGACGAAGATGAAGGATTCGGAGGTTTCAACACCGGCTGCGGTTGGGGTTTCTTAGGGCCTGGCGCTGTCGGGGGATTTTTTGCACTCTGAGTCGGTGTTTGATCAGGTTCGGAATCAGAACCAGAAGATCCAACTTCTTCGGATGAAACTTCATCATCATCCTCATCGGATTCCGATTCCGACACGAGTGGTTTTTCAGATTCACGATTTTTTGGCATTTTCTTCCAAAAATGGGGATCTAGAGCTTGGAACAGAGCTCAATTGAGAGATTACGAGGACGG